AGAGAAATACTTCTCTGAACGTTCCCACAAAACCTAAAAAAGTCTCTTTCTCTTCCCCCCTCCCTGCCGCCGCCAGCACTTGCTCCATCCTTCAGCATCAAGACTTTGTCTCGCTGGAAATCGTCAGAAACCCCAAACAGAGCTATATTTAGCACCTTAATTATTATCCAGGGCATGCCCATGTGTACATGAGGTTTTGTGTGTGACTGCATTTCGGCTGGCGGGACTGTCCTTGAGATTTTGTCTTCACTATAGCTTGATGGGAGTTGACAAGATCTAATGCTCCAAGGAGGCCAGTCAGTTAAATAGGATTGCAGGAGGGTGTTTTTACTTCAATCCTGTATGACAGCCAAGGGAATGCAGTGACATGAGGGCCTGGGAAAGATAATCTTTTCTTTTTTCCAGAAGTGATTCTCATCCTGTAGTCCCAGAGGTGGAGATTCATGTCCAGGTGCATGAAAGAATGTGTAATGCAAAGTAAGATTACACATGAGTTTCTGTGGTAGGAAAGTAAAAACAACATGTGCAAGGAATGGAGTAAGACTAACAGCTTCCACTTAACAAATTTCCTACCATTGTTTATGCTCATGTGGATGTCAGAATATTTGGTACAGTATTTGTATAGTAATGGGGGCAGTATAAGCCTATATTGAAGGAATTACTCAGGAAACCAGTAATTCAACAAAAATAAGGAAACTTAGATTTACTACTTCAGAAAAAACCAGCCTGGAGCAATAATGATAACAATAACCATGTATCTTCAAGTCAATTCTGACACGGTGGTCCTTTTTAGGGTTTTCTAGATAGAGAATACTCAGAAGTGGTTAAATATTCCCTTCTTCTGGAGTGCCTTGGCACTATGCAGCTTGCCCAAGGCCACACAGGTTGGCTGTACTTGCAGGAGGCACAGTGGGGAATGGAATTCCCAATCTCTGACTACACAGCCAGATACATAAACCAGTTTGCGGTAGTACTGTACAAGGGAAAGCGCCCTAAATTTGGTTACAGGAGCCCATAAAGCTGGCATCCCTATCTGCAGTTCAGCTGAGTCATTATGGAGAGTTTACATTGATCTGCCTGCCTCTAGCTAGGAGAAGGAAAAAGCAGGATGCATCACTGGAGAAAGGAAGCCTGTAAGTACATATAAATCTAGAAAAGAGGAGGAGGAAAATACTCTCAGGCTATCTGTTAGACTAGATAGCTCAGTGGTTTAAGTATCTGGTTGCAGAACCAGAGGCTGGGAATTTGATTTCCCACTGTGCCTCCTGTGAAGCAGAATCAACCTGCGTAACCTTGAGCAAGCTGCACGGTCTCCGGATGCCCCCAGAAGAAGGGAGTGGTATTCTCTACCTGGGAAACCCTGGAAAGGGTCGCCATAAATGAGAATTGGCTTGATGGCACATGATAATGATGATAATGATCTATCTGACTGTTCTTCACCCACTTCTGGTTCTGAACACCTGCCACATGGATTGGTGTTCCATTTCCATCAGTGGATAGGAGTTGAGCAAATCAACAGGAGGCAAGAGCTCAACATAGCTATGGAATGGCTCATACAATCTTCCTTCTCTTCTAGTCTTCTCTTGTACGAGAAGGTCAGGGCAGGAATGGGACTGGACCTGGAGCCTTTCCACATCTTTAAAAAGTATCCTTATTGAGGCAGAATAAGGACACGAGGCAACTTCTCTGGGCACCTTTTACACAAAGAAAACAAAGCGAGGAACCACAGTTTCTCCTACATCTATCTTGACAATCCATAAGTTACTCCAAGTCAGGAGTCTATCTGCAGGGCCTCTTGTTTCAAAGGATGAAGAGCCCTGAATGAGCCTAATTGAATAAGTAGAAGCCTGCAGCAGCATTGCTAATATCATTAATTATTTGCGTCTTAATATTAACCCCTTTTCCTGTCATGGGGCCAGCTTATAACATGGAGGACGAATAATTTTTTGTTGGTGGTAGTACATCATGACATGGCAGTACATTGTGGTGCATCGTGGAATGGCCACGATGACGGAACACTTTGCGGAATGTTTTTATACACTCTTGTAACATGTTCTGTATTCACTTTTTAAAAACAAAAACGACTTACAAATGGACAGGTTAGTAATACATCGCTAATAAGCAGTACAACATGCTACTTCACAGTAGTGAGTAATGACTAATGGTAAGAAGTTTGAACGCACTACCAAGAACAATGTCAACATGTTAGTTTCTTCAATAAATGCTTCTAAACTCTGAAAACAGCAGAACTTGAAAAGCCTCCTGCATGAGATTTAGGATAGCTATTACCGTGTTTCCCCGAAAATAAGACAGGGTCTTATATTATTTTTTGCTCCAAAAAATGCATTAGGGCTTATTTTCAGGGGATGTTTTATTTTACAATGGTGGAGGGGGTGGTTTCACTTAACTGGGGCTTATTTTGGGGGTAGGGCTTATATTACAAGCATCCTGAAAAATTATACTAGGGCTTATTTTCAGGTTAAGTTTTATTTTCAGGGAAACAGGGTAATCAATAATGGATAGTACTGTGATAGGATCAGCCAACAGCCAAACTCAACACTAGGCAGCTTCATATATTCGTGTTATCAAGTTGTTAAGATAGTTGGATTAAGTCTTGGGAAGTTCTAGAACATGTACTCACTGGACCATGAAACTCATTGGGTAAGCTTGAGCCAGTTATTCTCCATCTTACTATCCTCACACAGGAGCAGATCTATTATGAAATGAATGAAGCTTCAGTTTCAGGGTCCCTAATCCCAGAGAGGCTCCAGAAGTGGGAACAACCCCACTGAAGAAGATAACAGTGGTTACCCAAACTTCATTGCTGGTTGCAAAGGGGTCCCTATAACAGTTCAAGCATCAGAGCATAAAAAAATGTAGGACTGCCACTGTCCTTAAAATTATGTTATGAGGATAAAGAGAACCACACATGCTATCTTGAGCTCAGTGGAAAAAAGGCAAAATAAAATCATGGTAAATAAGTTCATAATTGGTGCATGTGCATTACATGTAGAATAGTGGTGGAAAAACTAGCCTTCACGCTATAATTGCTCTTATGTCCATTGCTTGATTATTTGTTCCATACAAAGCATTGGAGCTTGATTTCACCATAACCTTTTTTTTTAAATCATACTCTCAGCAAAGATGACTACCGGCCTTTTAGTGCTGATACCCTCTCTGGTGTCCAGGTCACCAATACCTGCTCAGAGATCCTCTTGGCTTAATCCTGATCCCTGTATTCTACATGTGTGGATCTCTATCTCCTGAGAATCCTCTGTCTTGATCACTGTCTTCTTATCTCTCTTCTGGCTAGAAGCTGCATATAATCTTTCTGTCACAATTGCATGTCATACTGTAGCTCCATACTACATTTGATAAACTGAAAATGCACCGTAAGGCTTTGCAAAATCAACACAGATATAGCAGAAGCAATTGAAGTAAGTTTAAAGAAAAAATCCTATGAGTAGATGTGAAAGAAATTTTGATTCACATTTTAATGGAAATTCTTGAATTCATGCTTCCTAAGCTACTATGTTTTGGGAGTGCAAGAAATATTTTTTGTTTAAGCAAAATTGTACAAATATTTATATATGTGGAGTAGGTTATATGAAGATGTGCATTTTTATAGAATGGACATTATAGAATAATAGAACTTTTTTATAGAATAGAAATTGTAAAAAAAATGCAAACTACTGAAGAAATTGAAAAAAATGAAGAAAGTGAAAAAAATTGACAGATTGGTTCTATCACTAATAAAGAATAGCAGTTATAGGTTTTCTACATAAAAGAACAGATTTATCAATGTTGTTGCCGGGCTTTAAACATTTTTGCATTATTTCCAACCAATATGTTATATAATAAAATTTTTAATTGAGGGGAAGTGTTCATTTTAATTTGCATTAGCCGTATTGAGTGAAGGTCTGTCCGTATAAGTAGGATCTTCTTGGGCTTAATAAATACAGAAACAGTTACTGAATGTAATAAAAAAGGAAAAACAAAAGTAATATAGGTTCATCAAAAAAATGAGGAGTATAGAATGCCAAATATATGTTTATATACTGTACCTCGTATGAGACTCAGATATCTTTCCATTGAGTTACTGACGGAGGACAAAGATCAGTTCTACATTAGGTCTAGAACATTCATTAGTATGATTAAAAAAAGAGGCACAGCTTTTACAAAAACAGCAATTTAATTGAGAATCCTCTTCCGGAAATGATAAATATTCTGCCTTCTATTCAATGAACTCAGTGTGGCATATATGACTCTCCTCTTCCTCACTTTATCATCAAAACAACCCTGTGGGGAAGGTCAGGCTGAGGGAGAACGATTGCCTAAAGTCACCCTTTGAATTTCATGGCTCAGCAAGGATTAAAACTGGCATCTCCCAATTCCCAGACAATACTCAGACCACTAAACCATGGTGATATGAAGATAATGTCGTGTTTTTCAACAGAAGCAATAACTATGGTTTTGCAAGTTCAATCTATTCTAGACTGATCTTTTGGGCCTTTTGATCTATGGGAAAAAAGTTAGAAAAGTATTTAAATTTGTATGAGGGGGTTGTTTTATTAAAATTGCACAGAGAATTAACAAAAACTAGGAGGTCTGCTCATATTGCTTTGTGTTCCCAAGTAATAGTCGAACAGTCCGTTTTGCAGCAGTCCGTGAAGCCTTCCCAGACATTTAAAAAAAGGAGAAAAGGAAACAAAACATCCACTGGGGGGCAGTTTTAAGCCTTCAACTTTTTGTTCTCTCAGAATCAACCGTCAGTTTACCTCCACTTGCCATGCAGGGTAAAATATGTGAGTTCCCACATCTCTTCTCCTACAATAAGAAATGTAGTTCAGTATGCTAAAGTTTGTAGTTTAGCATGCCAGAAAGGAAAACAGTTAGTAACAAAAGGAGTGAACATCTTGTCCCTTCCTGTTTTTTTTTTTATGAGCACACATCATGGTTTGTTCGGAACTACTCTCTCACACACACTCTGTCTTTTACAGGAGGAAGAAAATGGAAACAGAACGGGTATGTAGCTTTGTTTCTATTACCTTATTACTAGGCATGGCTGTTGGGTAGAGAGGTACAGTATGAGCCGATCTGTGTTAAGCAACAGGTGACTGGATTGTTCACCACAAATTGAACCCATGATCTAACAGTGAATTATAGTCTACTGTGTCTTCATCTTTATTTTAAAAACAGTAGGTTCTGTGCTCACGTGAACAGGGCACAACCACCTTTAGAGATTGTTTGGATGGGGTATCCTTCACCCGTTGTGTGCAGTTGAAGAAATGAGGATGTTTTTAATCCACCTGTAAAGTGGGTGTGGAGGAGTGGGCTCCTCAAAAGACACTGGAGATGGAAGGTCACCTCTAAATTCTCTGATGTTCACACAAATTATTCATAATTCATTGCAGTCTGTGGAAAATAAATAGTTCTTTCCCAGCTGATACAGAAACATGGAGAGGTGGCAAGTCTGCCTCTCTGTCCTACTGCTAGCAAATCAGTACTGCTAACAGTGAATACGTGACCCATTTGTAGTACTGTGCCACCTCCTTTCCTTAGAAGTCCACCCCCCTCCCAAGTGAGGAAGGCGTACATACTATGCCATCATGCTCACTTTTCTTCTCTCCTTTCCTTAGGCTTCTCTGTCCTGTCACTAATTATTAGCCTTCAGTGCAGTTCATTGGCTATTTTAGTTCTTGGCTCACCAGTCACACATGCATGATTAAAATGCCGAACCTTTTTTGAAAAGCGTTTGTGTCCCTTTCCTCTTCTGCTGAAGCATCTTGGGCCTGGCCGACAACCTGTTGCTGCTGCATGAAGCAATCTATGCCTGGAACTTGGAAACAGCTCTGAATCTCTTCTAGCTATTGGCAAAACTATGATTATGTTACAGAGTGTTGTTGTAGATCTACAAGCAAGAAAAATGTTATCTCCAAAAGTGGCCTAAATATGAACCTAGTGCTGTACAGATCTTTTGAACTGTGGTACCCATAAACCTTGTCCAGCATGAACACTAGTCAGAGATTATGGAATTGGAAGTCCAAAATGTCAGAGGTCTTCAGGTTGCTAACTCCTGGCCTAAAGAGAAGTCAAAGGCTCAAGCTACACTATATTTTAAAATGGAGCAGATAACTCCTTGGGACACCACACTGCTATCTCCCAATCCTCTTGGAGCAATGCTGTCCTCCCATGCTACCCAGGTTCTATATGGCCATATAAGGTTATTATCTGAACAAGGAATGTCTGCATTAAAATATGGTATACTGTACATGAAATGCAGCCAATTTGTGCTTCCAAGAGGCTTCTGAGAATGCTGATTTTTCTGTGTGACTTTTTTCTGAAAGTGGAAGTACCTTGTTTTCCAGCTCAGCACTTTCGTTGTTGTTTTTAACTAGAAACTTAGAAACTAAGAAACTTGGAAACTAAGTTTCAGTAACCTGCTCGTGCTGGGATTTATATCTGATTTGGGTTCCCAGTGCTTAATTTTTATTTTCTTTAAAAGCCAGTGTATTGTTTGATTCCAAAGTTTGGCCCCATAATTTGTATCTAACTTTCGTCTAATGTGAAAGATGGGCTACTAATATCCAGATCTATAGTTTTTGGTTTCGGTTTTTAAAAAAGTTCCAGTACAATATCATATCATTGTCCTGTTCTGCTTTGATATTAACCACATTCTGTACTGGTCAGGACTCTTTTCTGCCTAAGGTGGGACAACAATACGCACCTTGGGCAGTATAAATGTTATCCAAAAACGGCCACATTATTTTGGCATCTGAGGCAGAAAATTTCTGAAGCAGTTCTTCCCTACCTAGTAATAACAATAGAGATGGGTGCGAACTGCTGGTTTGGTACACAACCAAAGAGGTGTTCTGCAGTTTGGCTCCCCACTCCTCTGGTGGGCATCCACTCAGAAGCAGTGTCCCTGCCTTGCCTCTTCCAGGGACTGCTTCTGAGGGGACGCCAGCCAGAGGGAGTAGAGTGCTTAACTGTGGAACACTTGTTCAGCCATCTGAACTGGCAGTTCATGCCTGTCTCTAAATAACAGTGCAACAGTAAGAAATTGATAACTAACAATTTTCTGGTCTTTGATGACACACAATATCTGCTGCCTGAGACAGTTGCCTTTTTTTGTGCCTAATGGTAAGGCTGCCCCTATTCTATACTCTAATCCATTATGGCTTCCAACCATATGTATGATGGTCTTGAGACATTAACTGGTACATCTGGGTGTTAGACTTTGAAAGGTAGGTGCATGATTTCTTTCTTCCAAGGTAGCTGGAAGGTGGCGTAATTTGAAAACTGCGAAGTTGCAGTTAATAATGCTATTGCCTCCTTTCTTCCTCGTCTGAAGGACAGGCCTGTGACTCCAGTGCCTTGAGGCAGGATTTTGAGCTGAGCAGATCTGATGCCGTCGGAACACATCACTGCTCTTTGTCCTTGACAGGAATCTTTTGGCTCTCCTGGGAACTGTATTCAGTCTTCCTTAAGGGGGCAAGCACGGGGGCTTGCAGTTTCAACAGCTCTGGGGACTTTGAATACCCATGAGTCCACAAAGCTCTTCACCATTTGGATTGTGCCATTGCATGCTAACTTTCCAGGTTGGTCCTAGGTATATATAGATAGATAGATAGTTCTTGGGCCCATTCATCACATAGTCGACTTCCCAAACCAATTTTCCGAACATGTTATGATTCTACTCCCACAGTCATGAGTATCTGTACCACAAAGACCATGGAAATAAGTATGTGAGACATCAAGATTCCTGTCTCCATCTTTCTTTCCCTTCACATAGGTCCCCCGCGAAATCGTCTTGAACCCATGGACACCATTTTTGTGAAAAGTGTGAAGGAAGATGGGCCAGCTCACCAAGCTGGCCTAAGGACAGGTGAGAAAAGGGGCTTCATTTTTCTTTTTAAAGTTGCTTTCTTAATAATACCTGTAGGAGAACCAGGAGACTGTTCTCCTTGGAATTTCTACCTGTGGTTATCTGTTGGCCAGGTTTTCTCTTTGTGTCTAGTCCAATCAATGGTGAGCATTGTGTGTATGTAAGCGCTTGTGTATGTGCCCTGCTGTTCTGTTGATATGCACTATGCATGGCTTGCAATTTTTGTAGCTGTTCCCCAGAGATCTTGACCTGCCTATGAGGACTCAGCTAACCTGTGAAGTGTATACTCTCAATTGTCCATCAGTTGTCCTTCCATTGCTGAAACTTATGCTAGCCCTTAGCCATGCTCCAGCAGCAAAAACAAAGGAATCTTATGGTTGTTGTGGGTTTTTTGGGCTCTTTGGCTGTGTTCTGAAGGTTGTTCTTCCTAATGTTTCGCCAGTCTCTGTGGCCGGCATCTTCAGAGGACATTAAATCCCAGCCGTGAAAGCCTTCACGAATACAAAGGAATCTTAGTTTGCCAAACAGTTATATATTTAGGATGGCTTATTTAGCCTAACTGTTAGTGACTATCCTGTGGTTTAGTTAAATCAGCAAGACAGTAATATTGGAAAGACACATAGAGTAATCTGTTTTTTTTTAAATTAGGAAATGTAAAATAATCAAATCAGAAGGGACTAGGGACTAAGATTGTATCATTTCTGCTTTATAAAAGCAAAACGCCAATAATTTAACACTCTGAGAATGTTGGGGCAGTTGATTATTTTAAAATAAGTTTCTAGACCTTAAAACTGAACTTAAAAATATAGGAAAATATTCAAAATGAACTTGGCCAAATTTCAGAAATTGGATGGACTAAGTAAGTAACTACATTGCCAAGCAGTATGAGAATTATTCTGGGAGTGGCACAGTTAGATTAGTAGTATTTACTGCTTACTGCACAATGTGCTGCTCAATAGGAATCAGCTGGCCTTTTTTCTTCCTAATTTGTGCTTTTTCCCTCCTTTTGAAAGTGAATATATTTACATGGTTCAGGCATGTGTGATTGCTTGTGGTGATGTCAAAAAACAAAATGTCTCTGCAGGGTGGTGTTAAAGATGATGTCTTAAGTAGAGTCTGTTCTCTGTGACCGTGGGAACATCCACCCTATCCCTACAAGCGCTCTTGTTTTCATCCCCAGAATTAATTTAATTTAATTTTAGAATTATCTATCCTAGCACTGCATCACTTGGTCACTGCAATGTTGGGAATATTTATTTACATTCATTTCCCAATTACTTTCTAGGATTACTGGCTATACTAGGTCTTTCCAAGGGCCAATTTATCTACTTAGCTTCATATGCTTCAAAATCTCCACAAGCTTTTGTAAACATTTTGCATATCATTTAAAGCATGAGACCTGGTAGTCTGTGTTTTCATCAGACCTGTCGTATTGTTATATCAAATTAGCACCGGGGCACCTGTAAAAAAACTTTTAAAAAAACATATACGCAACCCTGGCGAATTAGAGCTAACTAAGAGGGTTGAATTCTCTCTCTTTTTCCCTTAATCTTTCTGTTATACACCAACCACTAATGTTGTTGGGGAACTTTAATAAATACATTTTCCCCTACACTGGGAGTGGACAAAAGGTGGCAAAGACAATAGACGAAGAAGGGAGTTTGTGAATGTGTATTGAACTGCACCATATTTAGGAGCAGTGAGGACACTTGCATTGAAGCTGTTCTGGATTATTTTATTTTTCCATTTAGTTGCCAACAAAGCTTTTCAAGCCAAAGGAGGCTTTGAATCAATCCACTTCAAATCTGAATCAGAACGATTTGGATGTCAGTACAGTCACGATCCAAGTGAAATTTACTATTGAATGTAGGAATGCTCCAGGAAAGACAGAGCCTACTATTAATCCTAAAACTGTAATTTATTAACCAGGAGGTGCTCAGTCCAAATCTGTCCTCTAATACAAATTCAATACAAGACCTTAAGCAAACCCTTGGAAAAAAAAAACCTCTCTTAAAGAAATGCTTTAAAAAACCAAACCCACAGTATTAATGCTAAGCACTAGCTGTAGTGGGGGTAGTAGTATTTCTTCTGAATCATGAAGCACTGCTGTCCATTATAGTTATTTGGCTTTTCCAGGGATTTGTAGAGAGAAATTAAATTACAAAAACAGCCATAATCCTATTTCTAATTATTTACATTTAATAAATATAAATATAATTGCTCTCTGGGTGACAGCATACTTTAACTAGAACTGAAGAAGGCAGAAGCCAACATGTTTTGCTTAACTATTTCTGTTTGTTAGTCACTCTTGTGAGGTACATTTATATTAAAAAATATGATTTTTTTGGTGTGGTTCATCTTATCATAGAGTCTAAAATATTTATATTAACATGGAACACTGCATAGTTCTCTATTTCTTTAATAAAAGGACTTAATTAATTATTCTCCCCGTAATTTCCCCCCTTGTAGCAGTTTAGATAGCTTACAATAGGAACTTACAAACTGACTAACCTGAAAGGCTACAATAAATACAGTATTAAAATAATACTAAATGAATTATCATTTAGTATTAATGTGTCAAAGAATGCTCCAACTACTGTACAATTGCACTCATTTCACACGCTAGCAAGGTTATGCTCAAAATCCTCCAAAGCAGGCTTCAGCAGTATGTGAACCGAGAACTCCCAGAAGTATAAGCTGGATTCCTAAGGGGCAGAGGAACTAGAGACCAAATTGCTAACACGCGCTGGACTATGGAGAAAGCCAGAGAGTTCCAGAAAAATATCTACTTCTGCTTCATTGACTATGCAAAAGCCTTTGACTGTGTGGACCACAGCGAACTATGACTAGTCCTTAAAGAAATGGGAGTGCCTGACCACCTTATCTGTCTCCTGAGAAACCTATAGATGGGACAGGAAGCAACAGTTAGAACTGGATATGGAACAACTGATTGATTCAAAATTGGGAAAGGAGTACAACAAGGCTGTATATTGTCCCCCAACTTATTTAACTTATATGATTAATACATCAACACAGCGAACTATGACTAGTCCTTAAAGAAATGGGAGTGCCTGACCACCTTATCTGTCTCCTGAGAAACCTATAGATGGGACAGGAAGCAACAGTTAGAACTGGATATGGAACAACTGATTGATTCAAAATTGGGAAAGGAGTACAACAAGGCTGTATATTGTCCCCCAACTTATTTAACTTATATGATTAATACATCAAGCGAAAGGCTGGACTGGAGGAATCCCAAGCCGGAATTAAGATTGCCGGAAGAAATATCAACAACCTCTGATATGCAGATGATACCACTCTGATGGCAGAAAGTGAGGAGGAATTAAGGAACCTTGTAATGAGGGTGAAAGAGGAGAGTGCAAAAAATGGTCTGAAGCTCAACATCAAAAAAACTAAGATCATGGCCACTGGTCCCATCATCTCCTGGGAAATAGAAGGGGAAGATATGGAGGCAGTGACAGATTTTACTTCCTTGGGCTCCATGATCACTGCAGATAGAGACAGCAGCCCCGAAATTAAAAGACACCTGCTTCTTGGGAGGAAAGCG